TGATGGATGCAAACAAATCACACCGCAACTCACAATGTTACGAAAAAATCAAAGTATAGGAGAGAAAAATGACTTGTCATATACCACAAAATGACCACAAGGCTTTCCACAGACTTCTCAGCAATAACAATTCAGGGAGGGCTGTGAGAGCTTATATACTGAGAGTATAAAATAACTGCCACAGAAGAATAGTTTGGCAAATTATCCTTTAGAGGTGAAGGGTATTCCCACAACATGCTACTCTTACGGCAAGGATTGACAGATTTTACTACTCAACCAACAGAAAAGGAAACGGGTAAACGGACTTAGCAAACAAAACAAAGATGCTGCCATTGAAAGAAGCTTCTTTTAGGTTTACAAGTGGACAGCCTTAAAGTGAAATTACGGAAAAGGAAATCCATGCAGACAGTAGCCAGAAATGAAGAGACATGGTCCGACTTACACCAGACAAAATAAACTTCAAATAAAAATGGCCAAGAGAGACAGTGTCCAACCATTATGCAATGATAGTAAAGACAATCCACTTGGAAAAGAAATCAACCTCTCTCTTACTGTCTCTTCCCCTCCCCCTCAACATCGGAACTTCTAAAATTATGTACTAAAGATTGACATACATGAGAAGAAAGCACTACATAATGGATTTCCACATTCCACTTCAATAGCAGATAGAAAAATGGCAGGTACTAGGATGAAAGGCAATAAATGACTGAAGGAATGCCATAGGTGAAATATTTAGACATATCCAGAACAGCAGACACAATGCTCTTCTGAAGTGCACATGTACCATTCTCTCCAACACAGATCACATGTTAATCTTTCAAGCTTCACAGATTAAAGACAGCTGAAATAACTTCAGTCACATCTTACAACTAATGGCATGAAAATATGCAGAAATTAGACATTCTCTGCCATAGTCTTTGAGGCAAAGTGTTCAAGAAATCAAAAGAAAAATGGAAATTATCTTGAGACAAATGAAAATAGACACTACTTAATGAAATCAAAACTTAGGGGATGCATGAAAAGTAGCCCCAGTAAGGGTTCATGGCAATGAGCATTTGCAGTAAAGTGGAAGGCAACATTAAATTTCTTAATTTTATATCTAAACAAGCTATCAAAGAAAGGAAATTATTAAATCTCATGAAGATACAGAAAAGAGAATAAAAAACAAATGGAAAGAAATTGTGGTTTCCAAGAAGTATTTTTCTCCAATAATACTGGCCAATATTTAGTTAGAATAAAAAAAGAAGAAAGCACCCAAATAATAAAATCAGAGATGAATTAAAAAAATCAGAGATGAAATAGCTCACTTGATGATACTGAAATTAAGACATTTCTAAGAAACTATTATGGTTAATTATGTAACAACATATTGGATAATCTAGAAGAAATAGACAAATCACTAGAAACACGATTGTCAAGGTTAAATCATGGAAAGATAGAGTATATTAACATTTATTACAAGTAAGAAGAAAAACTCAATCATAATAGAAAAAACAAACCCCAAAGTAACCAAAGACCTTTTAATAAAGATAAGCGTGGCACCAAATGGTTTTAACAGTGAATGAATCCCATCAAGAATTATTGATAATACTTTTTAGACACTTCCAAAGCACTGAACAGGGAACACACTCAAACCCATCTTAGGGAGCAGCATGGCCTTGATATCAAAACTATAAAAAATATACTTTAAGAAAAGAGAAATTACCAGCTAATATTCATGATAAATGTAGATATAAAATCCTATCAGTAACCATAGGAGGCTGAATTCAATAGTACATTAAAAAAATAATCAAAGACCCAAACTAGAAGTAAATATCAGTAAGGATAGAACATAATTTAACATAGGGAAATCAACCAAAACAAAAAAGTCTCATACAGAGGTTCACAATGATATTTATATTCCATAACAAATCTATAATGTACAGTATTAAAATTCAATAAAGTTTACCAATATTATGATGAAATTATTTAAAAACTAGGCATAGTTCGATATGATCATGTATATAGAAATCATAAAATCCACCAAAACCCATTAGGACTAATAAAAATTAGCAATGTTACACAATATAAACTAATACACAAAATCCGTTGCATTTGCCCTCACTAACTGGTAACAACCTGATGAGGACTTTACAACCCCATTAGAAAAGTATTAGCACACATTAAACAATTAGGAATAAGCAACCACATTAACAAAAGATTCATACACTGGAAAGTGTGAAGCACTGCTGAAGGAAATGACACAGAAAAAAATAAAAGGATAGGGCAATGTTTGGGGCTGGGAGAGTTAATATTGTTAAAAATATCCATATTATTCAAAGCAGCCTACAGATTCAGTGGAATCAATATCTTACAGATATTTGTAACAGACATTAAAAAATAAATTCTACCTTCACAAAGAACCCCAAATGTCTATGACTATCTAGAGAAATAGGAATTTGGGAGGAGTAACAGTTTTCATTTCAAAACATATAATGAAGCTCCAGCACAGAAAGGTCTGAAGGCAGAAAAACATGCAAAAGAATGAGCTCAGGAAGTCCTGTAAGTATATAACCAATGCTTTCACCGGGGCCAGTGATACATCATGGGGACCAGAATGGTGTGGGAAATCTGTCCATCCATATACATCTTAGAGCAAACATCAACTAGAGGGATAAATATTTAAGACCCAAAAATCAAAACAGAAAAACCTTGGTGATTTTTGGAGGGGCCACCAAAAGCACAACGGAGTAGGACTTTATTACACAGAACAACTAAACACTGAGTAACTAACACTGAAATCAAAACCTTTAGGAAATTGGAGTCTGCCTGGTGTTCAGTGCTCCAAACAACAAGGCCCAGCTACAACTCACTTTCAAAACAAACAAAAACAGAAATGAAAGAACAAGCAAAATATTATTTGAAGAAACAAAGTTCTTGAAAACAATGTCTCTAAAGATACACAAATAATCAACAGTATTTAAATGTACTCAACAGCATTATTATTGCTTTATTAATATAAAGAATACACACATAGACACACATGATCTTTCTGTTCAATTCCGTGCATACATTCTTAAAACCTTTGTACTTGCTCCGCTGCAAGAAATACGTTTTGCATTAACATTTACAGGAGTGCTGGGAGATGGCCCAGCAATAAGAGCGTGGACGGCTCTTAAAGGAGACAGGAGTCCAATTCCTAACACCTAGATCAAATGATTCACAATCACCTGTAACTCTAGGTCCAGGGCATTTGACATTGTCTTCTGTACTCCATGGACAACTGCACACAAAAGCACACAAAAGCACACACACACAATATAAACATTTAAAATATTTTAAAAATTGCAGAGGGTACATACCATATTATGTATTTTTTCCATGTCCCTCTCCTTAAAATCTTCAGATACTACTGATATTAGTGTCTTTCTTCTCCTCAGCCCTAACTCATCCCTGCCTCTTCACAGAACAGTATGCATAAAACCATGCTGGCCTTTGATAAGCACCGATCAACCTCTAGTTAAGCATGCAGTTGCCACTTAACCTTCTAGTTTCCATCCACACAAAGTTAGGTGCTGGAAGCTCTAGATACTACCCTTCATTGAGACAGGAACTATAAACTGAACCACAAACAGATCTGTTTATCTGGAACTGGAAGAAAGGAACCTGATAGAAAACATACCTAGGAAACTCGGAATACATCTGAACTATTAAATGCAAAAGTTTCAGGACATAAAAAAGGTGTGTATGTATATATATGATTAAAAGTAAGATAGTCAAATAATATATTAAATGATAATAAATCTATAAAAGATATTTATGGAATTAGGCCTTGACACTGGTTTATTATCTATAAACAAGGTCTAGCTTACTATATTGACTATAGAACAATTAGAACAGAGGCTATCCATTTCTCTGATCATGTGTATATCTGTATCTATATAACTTTGGTTTTTCTGATACACACACACACATACACACACACACACACACATAGATTCTAAGCATCAATAAAACAGTACTATGGGTGTTTGTTGTGACTTCTTTGTATATCTCAGTATAAAATGATCCACGTTTAGTCAGTATTTCATACAGTTTTGCTGGACATGATCAGGCTACACCCTAGTCTAAGTTGCTAACAATCTTTAAAATACTCTATATTAAATGAAACAAAGTCTTTCACGCTGAGCCTAGTCTAAGTGACTTCATATTACATAGCAGTAGCTAGTTGCCTGTATTTTGAGTAAAAATGCCAATAAAGAATGACTCTACATCTTGTTTGTGTGATTAAAAACCACCAGTTGCCCAGCATAAACCACAAGGTGCAGACTAATAACTTGTTTATGCAAAAGAATTACTATCTATGAACTTACTGAAGTAGATCAGGAACACATGTATCTATCAGAAAATCTAGGCATGTAAACCTGTCAGACACATCAGACCAAGGAAGGATGGAATGCCTTCATCATCATGGAACATATCCATCACCCACTGAATCGTCATCCTAGCCAGTGCATGCATTCTTCGACCTATACACAACAAGGTCCGAACTTCTGGTCCAGGGACTTCAACTCAGCAAAATCCTCTAACTGTGGTTGAATCAGCTTTGCTTTGAACTATCTCTAGCAATGTCAGCAGGTACTAGGCTACTAACACCTCACTCCACATGACTCTGTATCACATGACTCTGTAGCACATGACTCTGTATCACATGACTCTGCACCATGTGATGCTGAGTGCATTGGTTCTCTGCCTTTGCCTTTAATAGTCTCTTTAATTCTCTTAATGTCATTTCTATGGATCTGGGAGTTAACTGTAATTAAGATGAGAAGAAAAGAACTGTTGACTGCCAAGGGCCATTATCAAGTAAAGTCAGGATTATGTTGTGAGTTATAGCCAAGGTATTCAACACAACATATGGCCTTCAGTAAACTGTCATTGCAGGAACACATGCATGCAGCTATGCTTCTGACACAGTGTCCCTACAGCAGTGAATTTTGATTTTCCCCACTGTACTTTACCTTTTGTAAGTAAAGAACGGTTCCCTTCAGGACAGCATAGAAGGTTTTCCATCCCCGCTTTCCTCTTGGAGCTGAGAGAAGGGAAATGGAAAAGTTTAGTTGACGAAATTAGCTTCTTTGAAGGACAATTTAAAACTTCAACAAGACTACTGCTTTTCAATAATCCTGGTTTATTAGGTATGGGTAGAATGAAAACAGTTTCTTTAAACCTATTTGCTCTGAAATACTTCCCATGTGTTGGATTCCATTTTCACAGTAACCTTGTCAAGCAGCCATCAGGAATTTCCTTGTTATAAAAGTAAGCTCAAAGAAGCATCTTGCTAATAGTCATACAACTTCAAGGAGGAGAAGCTAGAAAAAAAACCCATAGGAGCATGGCTCTATCCTGTCCTACAGAACAGATGAATTCCCGCTTTTTCTAGAATATAAAGCAGATTTTCTCTATTCACTTACAGAACTCACCAAAACACTCAAGCAAAGACACAGATTAGACAAAAGTTCACAATTTATTCTAATAAAACTAAAATATATAACTATAAAATGCTATCACCTGCTTGTTGCTTTCATAAACACGTCAGCTCAAATCAGAGAGAGGGGCCTTTACTCATATCCTTCTTGAATACATTCTATTTTCTTTAATTTGGGCACCTGATTAATTTAGAAAATATTCATATACCAATTTCTTTCAACTGAATTCTCAGGACTCTCCGGTTGGAACTAGGTGACCATCCACCTACAGAGTCCAAGTGCTTCTGCCAGCAACATACTGAGATAGCCACCTGGCAAAAAAGATCTCAAACATCCGCTCTGCAGGTTTCCAGGGGAAACAGAAAATACCATTCCTTCTGTTCCTACTAGGTGAAGTTTAATGGTATGTGCTGACAATATTTTTTTTAAAGCACAATACAAAATCCCTTGTTAAAAAAAAATAGTGTGCTAGCATGGAGCAGAATTTGTTGGGTAGCCATGGTGCTTTAGGAGATGATACATTCTGATCCTGCCCATATATCATGCACAAGGGTGTGACCATGAGCTATGTCATCTGCTGCAGAGAGGACTGAGATGTATCATGGTACCTGCTAGAATTCACATTATCTCATAATTGACCCAATTGACCCCTCCCTGAAAATTCACACAATCCCTCAGGACCTTAGCCCATACGTTAAAATATGTAACTAACTTGTGTAATACTGTATAAGCAAAGGACTAGCTAAACACTGATCAGGAATAGAGAAAAACCTGCTTCCTATGATGTGTTTATAGGTCTTAGCATTGAAAAGCTTTCCCTGAGGCTCTGAGTTTAGTGTATGAGATATTGAGATATTCAGTGCAAATATCTACAAATCTATTTTTCTGCCATAAAGAAGAAATCTGTCTATGAGCCCAAGTAAAGGTCTTTAGCACTGTCAGAGTGCATCTATCAGAAACAGATTCTGGACAGCAATTCATGTGAAACAGCAACCTGAACACCACCCCAGGGGACCAACGCCACTGCACCTCTGAGGACCAATGCTGATTCACCCTTGCTGCACTCACTACTTTCCCATTTTCCATAGAAGTGTATGGCGTTATCTTGTCTGGTCAATTACAATCTGGTTGTTTAAGACTTGATAAAGCAATCTGTAGTACTCACAAGCAAGGGTTCATTGCTTACAGCCAGTTTGCAGTAAAGCAGAGCTGTGAGTGCTTCTCACCACAAAGCTAAAGGAACAGAACTATTATCACCTGTATTTACTCAGGGACTGTCGGCATAAATAAGTGACTTGGAAAGTGGAGGACCACTGTGGACAGGAGTAGGCTGGGAGGCTCCCTACCATCTCCATAGAGTTGCTATTGAGACTGCATGAAGTGAGGCTCAACTTGTCAAACACCATGGGATGGATACCTGGAAGGAAGAGTACTGGTTTTCAGAATGATAACTGTGGGAATAGTACAGGCAGGAGAAGAGAGTCAGAACCCAGAGGTTTGAAGTAAATTAAAATAAGGAACTAGAGGAAGAGAGGGGAGGAGACTTTACCTGAGTCCTGCTATGGCGGCTGGGCAACCCTTGTATAAATCCGTTCTAATTGATCTACACCAATATTTCAGGTAGGCAATGACCTTTAAATCATACTCACATAGCTATAACTAATTCTTTGTGCAGTCCTGAAAAGTTAAGAAAGCTGCTAGGAGACTGTCCATTTGACTATTCCAAAGCTGTTTTAATGAGGCAATTCAGATGAAGAAAATGTTAAGGACACGCTAGGAAAAAGGAGCTGGAAAGGAGGTAGTGAGACTGGGTCGGGGAGGGGATTTAGGGACTTTCTCTAGTTTCTCTGCAATCTGGGGCCTTCAAGTGTATCCCTGCTTTCAGCTAAGATCTTAGAAGAGAGGTGCATCCTTGTGCCTTCTTTTTCTAACATTTCTACAGAGTAGAAATAATGCAAAATCAAAAGTATACTACAAAACTCAAAAAAAATAGTATAATAAATATGGTCATCATAACAAGAACAGCAGCTAATGTTTACTGTGCACATACTGAATAGAAACAATTAAAATATCTCACGTGTATGGGCTAAAAATTGTACTCTACAAGGGAGCAATATTCCAGTGTCACTAGATTCATGGAGAAATATATTTAAAATATACTGCAATCTCAACAAAGACATTCCAAAATAAATCCAAAATTTTCTGAACTCAGAAACAAAGATAGAGTCAGGAAACACTCTATACTAATACAATGAAGACACATCTAGATTAGATTTGTAAACACAGAAGATATTTTTAAACGTTCCTTTATTTCCCTAGCGATGGTGTCTCAAATCACCCAGGTATCTACCTTGCAGATGACAGCTCAGGTGTACAGGGTCTGCTTTGTGCAGCTGTTTTGCAAAGATAAGCCACAGATAATACAGGAATCAATAAGGGAAGTTAAGGGTAATCAATGCATACTTATCCCTAACAAAATATCCTCAAGCACGAGAACTACCACAACGTTAAATCTTTATTAACGGAGAAGAGCTCTGAATCTCTCAGATTAGTGTTTGAAGCAATCAGGTCCAATGTGAGCTTGATAGAATCTACCCGGGGGGGGGGGGGGGGATGAGTCACACTGTATTAAGCAAATGATAGTATTAGCTATTCCCAGATTTATAACAGGGTGGTAAAAACACAATGCTGCTACTGTAATGTTATACTTCTAAATTGATTACCTTTGAATCTTAAGGCAATTTATATATTAAAAATCATTTGATTCTTAAATTCTTTCTCTGTAAGATAAGCATAGTCATGCCCACTCAGTTACTTGTATTTTAAACAGGAAAAACTGGGACAGCCTAAAGTATGCCCATTGATTTCCTAGAAACAACTTCCTTCTTTTATATGATGGGAATAAGCTTACATTATTGACAGTGAGCAGAACATGAAGGGAGAGACCTAGAATATTCTAGCCCAAAGTCCCCGATAACTTGACAAAGCCTTCTGAACTAGGGTAAGGAGCTTGAGGTTTATTAGCATCCTGATGTCTGCCAGTTCTCTTACTATAAATACTACTCACCTAATATTTCTGGTCAGAAACCTGTAATGGGATAATGTTACAAGTTTCATATTTACAATGTTCACTTGTTCCAAGCTTGTGAATAAGATCAGGATACAGTCTACCTTTATTTTTCTGTACACTTTATTTGCAGATCATAAAGCAATAAATCTCAGACTGATGAGGAAATTTCCTGCTACTGAGCTTTCATGGTACCAGAAGGTACTACACATGTTTGTAAAGAGAATATAGAGAATATCATGTGTGTTGTATGGAATGCATCACCTGTCAATTAAAGAACCCTATGGCTATAGGGAAGGGTAGAGTAGAGATGGGACATTTTGGAAACAGAAAGAATTCTGGAATAGAGCCAGGCCAGAGATTGGCTGAGAAGATGTGACAAGACAGACACACATGGTAATCAGACATATGGTAGAATGTTCATTAAAAATAAACAGATTACCTTAAGATACTATTCTCATGAAAGAAGAGCCTAGCTATATGGCCAATGGAGTCTGAGTCTTATTTCTAGGAGCATAAGGCTAGGAGGAAGAACTGGGCCTAACTTCAACACATGCTCCTGGATGAGAAGCTAGTCATGCAAAAATACCAAACTTCCAGGCTAGCTATACCTATTGGCTTAACAGAGCATAGCTATTATAGGTTAACCAATTGATTTGATTTGAAGCCTGACCAGGTAATTGTAAACCCACAGCTGGGGCCTGATAGGTCTAATGTAGAACATACTCTTAGTTTGTGAAATGGTCATGTCGGCAAACTTCCTTCTGATTTTTTGAGTGTTTCTACTCATAGACATGGGCAGAGGGAGCTTCGTTCTACACTCAGTGGAAAGATACATGATTAGTCAGTGCTGAGAATACTGCTTTCAAGTGCCCAGCGCTAAGCTTTAATACCTTTATCAATACTCCAACTCCTTTCCCTTCAAGCCCTTTCCAGCCAAGTCTCAGGAAACATCTTCAAAGTAGAGGCAGAAAGATGTAAGAATAGGAGAATGGGAGGAATTCTGTGAAATCCTGTCATGTGTGAAATGGATATTGCACTTAACCTCTTATGAGCTTGAGTTACTAACTCTGGTTACTAGCACAAGATCAATTTAGCTAGCATGGATGAGGGAGGAGGTCTTGGGCTCCACCAATAATTAAGGAGCTATTGGTAGTTAATATCTATCTGCTGGGTGAGGGAGAATAATTCCTTCTTTGGAAGAGTGTCCACTTTGGAAAGAGGACACTTAGTACCTTTAGTTTATCTGGGAGAGGGCATGACGTGAGGTGTACTTATTAACACATTCATTGTGCCCATTTAGTCTTTAATCTTGCTGACACTGAGGTATCAATGAACTAGAAATGACAACCTGAACTTTCTATACAAGCATTAATAAGCAAAAGGACATTCAAACCAAACTCATATAGGCATCACTGAAACAAAACTCAAATACATGTTATTCAAACTGAACTCATACATGCACCATTTAACCCAAACTCATATATGCACCATTCAAACCAAATTCATATATACATCATTCAAATCAAACTCATA